TTTTGAATTTTAAACTCAACAGTTTTTCGCTTATTTCATGTTATCCCCGGGCATCAATTTGCAAAGAATACGTTCAAAATATACATTACTAAATGCACCACCGAATGCGATACCTACAAAAATCGTTCATCTTTTCATTTATACACTATAGAAGAAAGTGATGCACCAACCTTAGTTTTCTGTTCCATCGCGGCCATTTTATTGGATAAATCAGTGATCGTAGTCGTCTAATCTCGTTTTCAGAGGTGTCGTAACCGTCATGCTATAACACCGTGAATTATGAATGCTGAGATACCAGAATCTATGACATATAGAATCTATGGTATGAATTTTCAAATAATGAAGGCCTGATTTGTTATCAAGCCGTCTGAACTTAAAGGAATATTCCTTGCCAAACCATCTCTCTCCTCAAATGGTAGCTATAACCATATATATGCTTGCCATGTTTAGCAAAACACGAACAAATGTTTTGATATGGTTATTATTATTATTATTAATGTTTTTATTATTCTTAAAGGCAGAATCAGATCTATAGGGGGTGACAAAATTACAAGGAACGTGCATAATTGACCTACCAATCTATTCCTTACAATATCAAATACAATATCTCCCAAAAGATTCACAATATGTTATAAATTGGTGAAGTTATTAATGATTCAAAGTGCAAAAATGGGTGAAAAATGTTTAAATTCTCCCAAATAATAAGAATGGTAACCATTCTTATAGAAAAATAATACATTATTGTAAAAATCTTTAGTTTTCCTTGAATAAAGTATGCACTTTTGTGATTTTTAGAAAATAGTCATGACAAGGAATGACATGAGCCAAAAATATTCTAGAATTGAAACAATTTTTTGTTGAGCCTGCTCGCTATCTCTGATTCTCTCTTTAAATCATAGTAATTTACAAAGTACAAGAAAGCAAGACCAATCGCCATTTGGCATTACAGGTCGCTTTAACATAAATATAGTTTAGAAGCAAGTAATAATAAAACAAACAAAAAAATGCATAAAACTATTGAAAAGTTTTGTTGTTAATTGCTTAGTTGCTTAGTTGTTGGGGATATTTTGGTCCAGGAGGTTTTGATATGGTCAAATTTGATCACTTAGAAATGTGATGCTCAATTCCAGTAAGCTGCCATCTTTTAAAATTTCACACAGGAAGTGATGTCATCGACTCTCAACTTTGCATATAGCATTAGGTGAGGAGCTATAAAGAATTACAAAACCAGCTAAATATTATTTTTCAACTTTGTATCTTATTTAATCCTTCTGGAAATCTCTTCTTTTATTCTAAGTTGACAAGCCCTGAAAATATTTTTGCACAGAAAGTAATGATCACTTGTCTAGAAGTGATTTTGTGCTACTTTCCTATACTGTTATGGGCAAGGTTATAGAAGTTGAGAGTTGATGACATCACTTCATGCAAGAAATCTTAAAATATGGCAGCTCACTGGAAATAAGCACTAGATTTTCAGATGATCAATATTGACCATATTAAAACATTTTCCCATGTTTTGCTAAATATGGAAACTATATATATGATTATAGCTACCATATCAAGAGAGAAAGGGTCTGGCAAGGAATATTCCATTAACAAAATACGTTTTATATTCGAACAGTTGCTTGTATTCATAAATGATTTATATCCACCAAAACGTTTTTATTATCAATTGCAGTTGATCTGTTCTTACCACTGAGCTCCGGGGACGTCCAAAGAAATATTTTTAAAGCAAAGCATAACCGAGACCCACTTATTTGAATAATATATATTTTCATCAGTACTACGACTATACCGGATAGTTTAAAAAGCCTTCGTGTAAACGTTGTGAAAAGTTATCGTAGAAGAACGATCTTTCGGAGTATAGGGTGTAGGTGTTTGCATTTGATCCGAACTAGACTCCAACAAAATTCCTGAAAATTATGATAAGCCATTGCATGAGGCGATTTATTTTGTCCTGGATGAAGTAGCTTAAGTTAAAAATAAATTGTGCGAAATAGTTGATTTGTTGGAAACAAATCATGCTCCAGGGTCTTCCAGAAATCAGACGAAATAATTGTGGATTCGGGGCAAATCAGATTTCAGGATATGTATTCAGTAAAAGATTCACCGAAATATATTTTGATGCAGAAAATTAATTATAAGTTGTCTGACTTTTTTTACACGTTGCCTGTTTTTTTTACTTTGTGAACATTAAAGTTACAAAGCTACAAGGTCATTTTTGAAAATCATTTTTACGTCCTGTGTTATTTCAATGGGAGAGGTTTCTTGATAAAGCCTACTTTCAGACTTTGCTTAACGTAAATAAAGACATCGTTTTTGTTAAATAAAATTCAAATTCAATTGTCTACTTATAACGTAATGAAGGTATTAAAATGAATTATATTTCCCCTCCCAAAATAGTTTTTTCTTTACAAATAAGAATTCAAACTTAAAGATGCTTTTAATACATAATCCGATGGGTTAGTTAGGATTGCCAAACTTTTGGAGGGGGTGTAAATGTACAAATTGTATTATTTGAGGAACCCTAATGAAGGGGGGGATTTGTGAATAATATAAAAATACAAGAACCCCCGGTCACCAAATCCTGGCTACGCCACTGTTTCGGATCGCTTTTTAAAATTGATTTCCAATTCTTTGGGATGGAAGATATTAGGATAATGTAATCTAAAAAGTTTATACTTACCTGGAACTTGTATTTAAACTACTTATACGATGCATTATCATATATAAATGTTGTCTGCAGGGGGATCAAACTGACCGCCTCGATTTTGAGAGTACCTTTTGCGAGATTTATATGCGCGTCCTTTTTTGAAGCTTGAGCCAAAGTTATTTTTGGCGTAAAAGGTGATTGGGGGTAGGGGGTTTATGATAGTCTGAATTTGATGCAAATAAAATATTGATAGTTGCATTATTTCTAATACTGTAAAAATACAAAATGATCATTATTGCTCTGTTTGACAGATAATAATTTAGCAGATTGAATTCCATTTCCGACTCCTCATTTTTTCATGAAAATAGAGCCACTGTTAACTAACTTGTGAATTTTTAAATGTACAAAATGCCAAAAAATGCCAAATGCCAAAATACTCTATTCGCGATCTTTTTTTCAAATATTACTAGATGAATAATGTTTAACCTTTTTGCATGTTTCTGTATGTTTATGCATACTTCGGTGTCAGAATTATAATGACAACTTTCTCCAAAGTTTAGATTTAATGTTTTATTGTCCCACTACTCTACGCCTACTTTTCCAATTTCAGTAATTCGTTTATATTCCGTTGCTATGTGGTTGCTTGGCTTAATCAAGAACCGAACTTACACTCCCCTCCAAAAGTTTGGCAACCTAAGTTCCCTTGTTGAACAACGTGTTAAAGCTTCTTTATGTTTGAATTTTTATTTAAATAACCTGCGAGGAAAACACCTATAATATTGATGGAAATGTTACTTGATTTCATTTCCAATGCCTCCAAATTCTCTCAACCTGTTCCCTCAATTACAATAGGTCGAAAATTGATGATAAATCCGATGAATTTTTGAAAATTGACATTCCTATGTTAACCGATGAGAAATGGTAGGTTTTCCGCAAGTCATATGACAGAATATTTATCCCTCCGAGTTCTTACAAAACGTACAAGTTAGGTAGGCTAGTGAATTTGCTAAATTTGTTTAATAAAAAATTGATATGTTTCTTCAGGTTTAAAAAAGTTATAGGCTTTCAAAGCCAAACTTATTTTTCAAAAAACTCCTATTGAAATAACACAGGAGGCAAAAAATTATTTTCAAAAATAACTTTGAAGCTATGTAACATTAGTATTCATAAGCAAGCTGAACACTTAGCGTACAAAAAGTCAGACAATTCAATTTTATATTAAAAATATTTTTTTGGTAAATCTTTTACTGGATAGATATCCTGAAATCCGATTTGGCCCGAACCCACCATTTCCCATTGGTTTACATGGGAATGACGATTTTCAAAAAAATCATCAAAGAAGGAGGGAAATTAGCGCAACAGATTTTGGACAGTCATATGTTGGATTTTGGCCAATTTCTGAGGATTTAAACAATGGCATATGTTAGGCCAATGCGTTACCTCCAGGAAAATCACTTCTAGAGATGATAAAACAATTTCGACTATGAAACAGGGTAGATGCAAACAACCCACCAACATGTTTTCCTGATTTTCGACCCCTTCCATCCCTGCTTCTTCAATTTTTCTTGCATCAATATGTTGCGTTTTGACACATAGTTAACCACTTAAAGGGAATAAATGATTCCTTCAGGGGTTTTAAAGATAACCATTATGGGTGACCAAACTTAGCTGAAAGCAATGATTTTCCCTATGGGAAAATAATATGGGAAATATTGTTTTCGACTTTATCTAAAAGGAATCACTTATTCCTTTTAAGGGATTAAATGTGTGTCAAAGCGCAACATATTGATGCAAGAAAAATTTAAAAAGCAGGTATGGAGGGGTTGAAAATCAGGAAAACATTACAGAAAAAACATGTTGGTGGGTTGTTTGCATATACCCTGTCTCAAAGTCAAAATTATTTTATCATCTCTAGAAGTGATTTTCCTGGAGGTAATACATTGGCCTAACATATGCCATTGTTTAAATCGCCAGGAAATGGCCAAAATCCAACATATGACTGTCCAAAATCTGTTGCGCTGATTTCCCTCCTCCTTTATCATCAATTTCGACCTATTGTAAGGGAAAAATGGAAAAAAATTTGAGGCATTGGAAATTAAGCCAAGTTACGTTTCAATCAATATGTAAGACATTAGGGTTAAATGTTCAAAAATTGATTTCAGATTGGCAAAATAGTTTAAGGTATTAGAATAAGCCTACGTAGAAATCCTTTCCTCCGATGTTTGTCAAAAAGTATATTGGTCTTGTATTTTAGTTCAAATCTTACAAAACAATTAAAACGATCACATGCCTAAAATAATCAATTCCAAATGTGTTTTGAAACTAATACTATACCTTCTTTTCCTAGATGAATGGAGTCCTCTTGGCGTTGAATTTGACGTTGTTTGGTTTCCCAATCTACATTAACAGGCAGCTGAAGACTCAAAAGGATCCACCTAATAATGAGCCCAGTCGTAATTAGGAAGAAAATCACGGACTACTATATTCTGGATCTTTAGAGCGGTGTCTATGTTGCAAAGGCTGGGAACTAAAACTGTTAATTTATTGCTTCGTGAAGATGCTAGATGCATTCTTGGCCCAAGAGTAATTCATTGCATTACATGATCTGCTATGAAAGCAGTGAAGGACCGATCTTGAAGGACGGTTAGATGAACACTAATTATAATTTTCAAACTAGAGAGCAGATCTTCCTCAAATATACTATTGAGTCCCAGCGTTAAAGTCTTTTTAATTGAACTTTTTTGTAAATATTTTAACAAATGTACTTTCAACCGAATGTTCCCATGATAACCATATTGAAACATTCAAACACTTTCTTGTACAGCGACCTCTGAGCATCAACCCAAGATGCCAACTCCTAAGGAACTCCATATAACATGAGTCACTGGCATGTAGCGGCCCTGATATCGATAAATTCTACACGCAATATAACCCGATTTTAGATGCTTGGTTAAAACTTTACACGAAAAAGCCTCGATATCCGGGCATTTACTCTTACACTGAACTGAAAATAGCATCGTCTAAACGCGTATGTCTTGGCTTCCGGGTAAGTCTATCAACATTTATACTCAATTGAAAGAGCAGTCGTGCTTATATCACTGGCATGTAGCGATTATAGCGGTCCTGTCTTGGCTTATTGAATTGTTACGAAGTTACGTATGCGGTGCGGAAGTTAGAGAGCAAATGACCATCATTTCAATGTAATAGTTTATGCAGGAAAATTGAGATTAGGCCATTGGAGTATTTGTTTCATGCATTTGTAAAACATTACCCACTCATAGGTCATACTTATCGTTAAACCAATAACTCAAATATATGCCCTTGTACACCGATCACCTGTTGAAATTAATACAGGCCGATTTCAACAAATGTAAAGGGCGATATATTTAAAATCGTATTCAAGCATGATCACGCCCCACTTCTTTTGTTTTCTTTACAACTAAGCTATGACTGCAGTCTATTCAGTGTTGCGTATCGAACCTTGTTTATTATAAAAATAGTGCAACAACAAGCAGAATTCACACATTTACCTTATACTTATTCTCAACTGAAGACATTGAATTTATCTCTTAGGTTTTACATTATAAATATCTTAACATGCAGAATACGAAAATAGAGGCTTAGGCCCAACTTTGTATGAATTTTATGAGAATAATCTGATTTTAGAGAAATGAAAAGAAAAATGTCCACACCCTACACAAAATATTTATGGTTCCCCGGGAATACGTATGTGCTGCTTGTATATTAGAATCGTATTCCAGTTACAGAAAGAAGTACATATCATGCTAAACTATATACAACAGTTATGCACTTGGAGGTTTTGGATACAGGGAATATCCCGAGGGATATATAATTCATCTTCCCTTGGTCCCTTCGGTCCCTCGGGAAGATATATTGTTTATCCCTCGGGATATTCCCTGTATCCAAAACCTCCAATTGCATAACCCCTATATATTGGCCAAGGGATAATCCCAATATCCTGAACCGCGACTATAGGATAATATGTTTATCCCATACCAATCTTGGTCATCTGGTTCACATTTTTAAATCGTGGAAACATTTTAGAATATTCATGTCCAGTTTTGTTTTCTTGGCCGTGGGCGGATTTTCATGTTCTCTCAAATATTCCCATATTCTCTCGAATTTTTTATTGATTAAGTGGATGCTCTTTCCCCTTTTTTAACTATCAAACAGACCCTGATTGTCTGTGTTTTCTCCATTGCCGTTTACAGTCATTCCGCGAACGTTACAAATTATGAACAAACATGCAAGCGGCGATTATGACGTAGCGGGCAGATATACTATATCTGCCCGCTTGGAGCGGGGCGTAAAGCTTTATCCCATGGTTGCAAGGAGGATATAGATCGAATATCACATGATGATATATTTGATATGTGGATCAAGATATCATATTTTAGCAAACAATTTACAAACCATCGAATATCACTTTTAAACTATCGAATATCACATCTTAAATAGAGGATATCCTATGATTTATGAGTGATATGATTTTTATCCACGAATGGATATGATATCTGCACGAGTGAGCGTAGCGAGAGAGTGCAGATATCAACATCCATAAGTGGATTAAAATCATATCACGAGTAAATCATAGGATGTTCTTTATATTCCATAGTTAAAGTCATCATCAGAATCGTCGGGAATTAAGTGATTTAAAACGAATTTTCCAAACGATACGGCAATATTGACACTTAGCCTCGTTTTGAGTCTGAAGTAGCAAAAATCCATAAACCATGGCATACGGCGCCGTATGTCATGGCTAAAAGCCCCCCCCCCCCCCTAAAACACCGTATGCTATGGTTAAGTGAAAATTTGCCAAAAATATCATATTTTACCACTGATTTCAAAAGTACCGTTTTTATTTTGACATGTTATCCTATGGATATCATGCTAACTATGGAATAATATAGGAATATCCTATGGCTCTGAAAAAATATCACTTATATCCATGAGTGGATATTGATATCTTCGCCAGTGAGCGCAGCGAATGAGTGAAGATACTGATATCCATGAGTGGATATAAGTGATATTTTTGAAAAAACATAGGATTGTCCGTTTATCCCATTGGGAATTATTATCCAGCGAACATTGAATAGTCAGATAAATTGCAATGGAAATTCCATTTGGTCTGACATTTTGATTGCGATAATTCAACGAACGTCATATACGTGACGTAACAGAGTGGTTTGTATTTAATGCGAACGCCGTAAAAACAAGATCCCAAAAAATAAAAATATATAATAAATATATAAACAATCGTTTTGCTGAATTAATAAAAAAATTGAAAAAATCAAAACCATCGAATATCACTTTTGAAACCATCGAATATCACTTTTGAAACCATCGAATATCACCTTTCAAAAAGTGACATTCGATGGTTTCAAAAGTGATATTCGATGATTTGGGAATTGTTTGCTAAAATATGATCTTCATCCACGTATCAATTATATCTTCACGTGATATTCGATCTATATCCTTGTAACCATGGGATAAATAAGGGTTATGTACTGGGGGGTTTTGGATATGGGGTTTTTCCAGAGGGAGATATGCATATCTACCTGAGGGACCGTAGGGACAGAAAGTAGATGTGCATATCTCACGAGGGATGAACCCAATATCCAAACCGACCGTACATAACTGCTTTATCCTATACCAAGTAGAGTTTTCAGTAGTACAAGGTGTAAAAAATAAACAAATCATTCATATGCAAAGTCATTTTATTGCATTTCCACTTTTTTTGGAAGCGGGAAGATACGCCCCGAAGCGGGAAGATATGCACCGAAGCGGGAGATATGACGGGAGATATGGAGGTTCTTGATATGGAAACCTCAAAATCAGGATACGGGATATATCTTTTTCCAACTTATCTCCCTAAAACCCTACTTGGCATAGGATAAATCAAGATAATTTCTACTCGCATCTAGTCTATTCCACATATTTGGGAAAAGTGTACAGGAAAATCTCCATGTTCAATTGATGTATGATCAATATATACGAATCGAATGTATTCTCGTGTGCATTACAATATCCACATTGAAACATTTTTGGCCTGCAATGGACGTATAATAAATTAGAATATGAGGCCGTGTTATCATTCTAATGTAAAGTCATGGTATTTACTGTGGTATTGGGTTGCAAGCTAATATCAGATTCAATGCAAATTAATCATCTAATATCAGATGCGCGATCAGTCCAATAATCTAATTTCAGGTCATCAGTTCGATATCTAGCACTTGTTCTAACGACACGGTATTACTAGGCTATCATATTATAAATACACACACATATAAAACAATCAAACTGGTACACGATATAAGCACGACTGCTCTTTCAATTGAGTATAAATGTTGATAAACTCACCCGGAAGCCAAGACATACACGTTTAGACGATGCTATTTTCAGTTCAGTGTAAGAGTAAATGCCCGGATATCGAGGCTTTTTCGTGTAAAGTTTTAACCAAGCATCTAAAATCGGGTTATATTGCGTGTAGAATTTATCGATATCAGGGCCGCTACATGCCAGTGTTATATCGTGTACCAGTTTGATTGTTTTATATGTGTGTGTATTTATAATATGATAGCCTAGTAATACCGTGTCGTTAGAACAAGTGCTAGATATCGAACTGATGACCTGAAATTAGATTATTGGACTGATCGCGCATCTGATATTAGATGATTAATTTGCATTGAATCTGATATTAGCTTGCAACCCAATACCAAAGTAAATACCATGACTTTACATTAGAATGATAACACGGCCTCATATTCTAATTTATTATACGTCCATTGCAGGCCAAAAATGTTTCAATGTGGATATTGTAATGCACACGAGAATACATTCAATTCGTATATATTGATCATACATCAATTGAACATGGAGATTTTCCTGTACACTTTTCCCAAATATGTGGAATAGACTAGATGCGAGTAGAAATTATCTTGATTTATCCTATGCCAAGTAGGGTTTTAGGGAGATAAGTTGGTAAGATATATCCCGTATCCTGATTTTGAGGTTTCCAAATCAAGAACCTCCATATCTCCCGTCATATCTCCCGCTTCGGTGCATATATTCCCGCTTCGGGGCGTATCTTCCCGCTTCCAAAAAAGTGGAAATGCAATAAAATGACTTTGCATATGAATGATTTGTTTATTTTTTACACCTTGAACTACTGAAAACTCTACTTGGTATAGGATAAAGCAGTTATGTACGGTCGGTTTGGATATTGGGTTCATCCCTCCTGAGATATGCACATCTACTTTCTGTCCCTACGGTCCCTCAGGTAGATATGCATATCTCCCTCTGGAAAAACCCCATATCCAAAACCCCCCAGTACATAACCCTTATTTATCCCATGGTTACAAGGATATAGATCGAATATCACGTGAAGATATAATTGATACGTGGATGAAGATCATATTTTAGCAAACAATTCCCAAATCATCGAATATCACTTTTGAAACCATCGAATGTCACTTTTTGAAAGGTGATATTCAATGGTTTCAAAAGTGATATTCGATGGTTTCAAAAGTGATATTCGATGGTTTTGATTTTTCCATTTTTTTATTAATTCAGCAAAACGATTGTTTATATATTTATTATATATTTTTATTTTTTCGGATCTTGTTTTTACGGCGTTCGCATTAAATACAAACCACTCTGTTACGTCACGTATATGACGTTCGTTGAATTATCGCAATCAAAATGTCAGACCAAATGGAATTTCCATTGCAATTTATCTGACTATTCAATGTTCGCTGGATAATAATTCCCAATGGGATAAACGGACAATCCTATGTTTTTTCAAAAATATCACTTATATCCACTCATGGATATCAGTATCTTCACTCATTCGCTGCGCTCACTGGCGAAGATATCAATATCCACTCATGGATATAAGTGATATTTTTCAGAGCCATAGGATATTCCTATATTATTCCATAGTTAGCATGATATCCATAGGATAACATGTCAAAATAAAAACGGTATTTTTGAAATCAGTGGTAAAATATGATATTTTTGGCAAATTTTCACTTAACCATAGCATACGGTGTTTTAGGGGGGGGGGGGGGCTTTTAGCCATGACATACGGCGCCGTATGCCATGGTTTATGGATTTTTGCTACTTCAGACTCAAAACGAGGCTAAGTGTCAATATCGCCGTATCGTTTGGAAAATTCGTTTTAAATCACTTAATTCCCGACGATTCTGATGATGACTTTAACTATGGAATATAAAGAACATCCTATGATTTACTCGTGATATGATTTTAATCCACTTATGGATGTTGATATCTGCACTCTCTCGCTACGCTCACTCGTGCAGATATCATATCCATTCGTGGATAAAAATCATATCACTCATAAATCATAGGATATCCTCTATTTAAGATGTGATATTCGATAGTTTAAAAGTGATATTCGATGGTTTGTAAATTGTTTGCTAAAATATGATATCTTGATCCACATATCAAATATATCATCATGTGATATTCGATCTATATCCTCCTTGCAACCATGGGCTAAAGCTTTACGTCCCGCTCCAAGCGGGCAGATATAGTATATCTACCCGCTACGTCATAATCGCCGCTTGCGTGTTTGTTCATAATTTGTAACGTTCGCGGAATGACTGTAAACGGCAATGGAGAAAACACAGACAATCAGGGTCTGTGTGATAGTTAAAAAAGGGGAAAGAGCATCCACTTAATCAATAAAAATTCGAGAAAATAAATATGGGAATATTTGAGAGAACATGAAAATCCGCCCACGGCCAAGAAAACAAAACTGGACATGAATATTCTAAAATGTTTCCACGATTTAACAATGTGAACCAGATGACCAAGATTGGTATGGGATAAACATATTATCCTATAGTCGCGGTTCAGGATATTGGGATTATCCCTTAGCCAATATGTAGGGGTTATGCAATTGGAGGTTTTGGATACAGGGAATATCCCGAGGGATATACAATATATCTTCCCGAGGGACCGAAGGGACCAAGGGAAGATGAATTATATATCCCTCGGGATATTCCCTGTATCCAAAACCTCCAAGTGCATAACTGTTGTATATAGTTTAGCATGATATGTACTTCTTTCTGTAACTGGAATACGATTCTAATATACAAGCAGCACATACGTATTCCCGGGGAACCATAAATATTTTGTGTAGGGTGTGGACATTTTTCTTTTCATTTCTCTAAAATCAGATTATTCTCATAAAATTCATACAAAGTTGGGCCTAAGCCTCCATTTTCGTATTCTGCATGTTAAGATATTTATAATGTAAAACCTAAGAGATAAATTCAATGTCTTCAGTTGAGAATAAGTATAAGGTAAATGTGTGAATTCTGCTTGTTGTTGCACTATTTTTATAATAAACAAGGTTCGATACGCAACATTGAATAGACTGCAGTCATAGCTTAGTTGTAAAGAAAACAAAAGAAGTTGGGACGTGGTCATGCTTGAATACGATTTTAAATATATCGTCCTTTACATTTGTTGAAATCGGCCTGTATTCATTTCAACAGGTGATCGGTGTACAAGGGCATATATTTGAGTTATTGGTTTAACGATAAGTATGACCTATGAGTGGGTAATGTTTTACAAATGCATAAAACAAATACTCCAATGGCCTAATCTCAATTTTCCTGCATATTACATTGAAATGATGGTCATTTGCTCTCTAACTTCCGCACCGCATACGTAACTTCGTAACAATTCAATAAGCCAAGACAGGACCGCTATAATCGCTACATGCCAGTGATGAGTGATTGCTTAGCTTGTATTCGCGAATGTTACTAACGTCTAGCGGCTGCCGGATTACTTACTATTTTATGACCAACTCATTTAGATATGAATAGTACCTTCCACTATTCCATTCATATTTAAATGAGTAGCCCATAAAATAGGAGGTTCATCCGGTAGCCGACAGGCTTTAGCTGCATTCGCGAATACAAGCTTATATCAAGAATTATAACTTGAACCATTGTATCTATCACATATAAAAAACAAAAAAGCTCTCTGACTCAAACAGGATATACAAATTTATACCACTCTAAGTCCAATTACAGTTGTATAACATGGGTCTATAACAACGATATACAGTGGAGAGTGGTATATCGTCATCGTATACAACTCCTCCGTATACACTCCAGCGTATACCACTGTAGAAGTGCATTCTGGGAAATAATGAATAAAAAAATCATGATTTCCTAGAATCAAGTGACGTCATAAATCAACATCAGCATTATTGAGTTGGCTGTCAATGGGATATTTTTATGGTTTTTAATTGTTATGATTGTGTTCGAATCAACTGTAATTGAACTTAGAGTGGCATAATAAGATTATATAATGGTTCATTCTGTATATCGTGCATTTTATACTCTCGTGAGAATATAATATATTCACTCGTTCGCTACGCTCACTTGTGAATATATCATATACTCACTCGAGTATAAACACGATATACAGAAAGAACCATTTATATAACCTCATAATATCCTATTCACTCCAAATATGCCAGTTATCCTCCGATAAGGCGAATTTAAGACATGTACATGTAGGTATATCATGTACAAAATTGACGCACTATCCTGTCATGTACGAAGACGTAACAAACTTTATCTCTTTTTCATTACACCATCTATTCAATAAATATAAATATATTCATAAATATGATATATTATGTACAATTATAAATAAAACAGTATTTCTTTATTATAAATAAAACAGTATTTCTTTTTAATTTATACAGTTATATTCTTAGAAATCTTCCAAGGTCTTGGACCAGGCATTACTTTTTGTAAGTTAGCTATATACATCGCCCTTTCTTTGGGATTACACCTAACTATATTTCTATAGTATTCAAATACCATTATAAATGGAAGGTAGATATGCTTGCACGAAGATAGATATGATATAATATTGTGATGTCATGCATTTCGTTGTGTTCTTTAATAAGAGTGACATCCTCTCTAACAACGGCGTTCTTGTTCTATACAACGACGGGACGAGAGGACGCAGTTAGATTCAACGGTCCACTCTGTTGTGGCTCAAATACGTTATCGTCCATATACATTGACGTAGCATCCACGTTGACACGCAATGGTGCCACGTGAGGTGACGTCATTTTAACACCTGGAGATTTCATTGATTGTCCCATAGACATGAGAATATCTCGAGAACGGTCCTCTTGTTTTACAATACACGGTGGAGCTGCCGAGACTTCTTGCTTTGCTTGTGCGTGGGTCAACAAGTGTGCTCTGAGGTGGCTTCGCTGAGTAAAAACTTTATCACAAGTTTCACATTTATGCGAGGATTCCTGAAAACATATGAAGCTGATGTCAACGTTTTATCCATGGAAATATTGGAACAACTAGAACGCAATCTATGTCGATGTAGAAAATCCATGTTAAATCATTTTATATTAATTGTTGATTTTCGTCTATTCATTTTTTTGTTTTTTATTTAAAATAGTCAACAGAAGGCTATTGTAAGGGTTATGTGCTGATTGAACATGCAGGGTGACCCAAAAGTAGGTTTACAGTTTACAGTAAGAGTTATAGTATACATTCACCTGCATATGAAGCGTCCTGTGAACTGCCAGTGTGCGTGCTTGGCAGAAACCTTTACCGCATTCGGTGCATTTGAATGGTTTCTCCTTAGAATGGATGTATCTAAAGAAAACAATACAACACTAAAATGAACTCGTATAACATTATATAATAATTTTTTATCAAACCATTGTATTCCGAGTATAAAATGCAAGCAAATAACAGTTTGTAACCGAGTCCTAACTACACGATGGTTTGAAGAACCAATGTATTTATGCACCTTTTCCAAATATTGTATTTACCTAATGTTAATATAATTTCCATTGGGAGCAAAACTAATCAAAGTTTTACAAAAAGAAATAATCAATTTCACCAACAGCTGAGTGATGAAGGTAAAAAATGTTTCAAAAATGAAATGTCATGGCTATTAGCAAAAAATTAACTGGCTTCAATTTGACCATTGGCCAAATCATGACCAATTAATTCACACGATTGCAAATTTTGAGAAAAATTGTTCCGAAAGATGATATGAAGCACGTCGTCTCCTCACCTGTGATCTCTGAGATGGTCTTGTCTGCGGAATGCTTTCCCACAGATGTCGCAGGGGTACGGGCGTTCGTCGGTGTGTGTTCGCTCGTGGATGAGGAGGTTATAAGACTTGGTGAAGTGTCGACCACAATATTTGCAGATAAACTCCTTCTTTGGCCTAAATAAAAAAGTAGCATAGCCAGACATATAGATGGAGCTAATTGAATTTTTCGTGTTAGTGTGTATTATTTATACATTCCATTAGTGATGTTTCGTTTTGAATATTAAAAACATATTGAACCGTAAACTCGGTCATAAATTTATATGACATACATATTCAGGGATTAGAGTTTTTTTAATAATGGTATATCTAGTTTAAATATGAGGCAGTCTTACCTGTTTCCTCCTCGACCACGTGGTTTCCTTGGTAATTGCAATTTGCCAGGCATTGTGTTGTATGCAGGGGGATAAAAGCTACTGACAGAGGGGTCATACCTAAACGATTCATAAAAATACCTGTATTAATACAATAACGTACATCTATGTACCCCGCGATGCATTTGTTTGGGAGATTGGTCATTCGTATAGGTTGGCGTTTCGATTTTATATGCAAGCTTAAACTCCCTATTATCCTAAAAGAAATAAAAGGAGAGACATCTATCAAAGGAGATCATATTTTTATATATCCTTACCTAATGCTGTTAGTCACATGGGAAAAGGCGCTGAACACCTGGGCATCAGGGCCAGGTCGTCCCAGTTTAGAAGTTTTATCTTCTTTTTGCATATTGTTGTATTCTTTAGTTGCAGCCTCGGCCAAATGAGCGAAGTCAAACTTTTTATCATTTTGTTTATCGTTAGATGAAGATGGGGAGGTTTCTGAAATAGAAAGAAACAATTCATTGAGTATATAAGAGGCCAAAAAGAAACTAAAAATTATCTTTAGTATCATCATCATTCAAAATCAAAACAATAACGAGGCAAATATTTTTTATATTAATGTAATACAACCACTGAAGTAATATTGAACTAAAATAATATACCTTTTGTTTTATTAGCTGATTCAGGTCCATTTTCTTTCAACTTCAGTAAAGACCACGCTGAGCCAAGATCCTGTGACGCAAACATTGACGTCATCGGAAAGGAATATGGATACATGAATGGAGTGTTAGAGATCCCGGATGTTGAGGGGTATGTGACTGGAGTGGGGTATTGCATACACTGCAAAAGTGATGCCTGTAAGGATGGCATGTTGCCGAGGTTTGGATATGCGGGATGAAGCAACGGAAATGACGGGTATATTGGCCTTGGAATCACAATAGATGTCTCTAGATCTGACTTCATGGTTGATTGGGTTGGCGCCAATAAACACGTGTTTCCAAGAAACAAAGGCTGTGGTTTGACAACGCTTTGTTTTGTGGCAGCAGGTTTAACATCGACATCCATTCGCATGTCTTTTCCTAAGTGGTTATCTTCAATATCAAGTCGATGACCTGCAAAGACATATGAGATCATATGTGACATCATGTTTAAGACATTCGAGATATTTAATCATGGTGGCTGGACGAAGGGCCCGATTACATTATGAGAACTAACCATTTGGCGCATCAAAGGTGCCCTTCATCGGTATACCTTAGATTTATGATTGGAATATTGTTTTGATTTGGAACGGAATTTAATTTTATCTGAATTTTATTGGTGTTACTACAGTAGAAATGTAGTGACACTTTGATAGTGTCATCTCTGTGCAAACAGAGGAGTCAAGTAGAATGGTCAAACGGTTATTTTGGTCACTCTCTCCACTTCTGAAGTGGCCGGTATTGTCATCATGTAACCAAGCATGCTCAGTAAGACCGAAATACACATTTCAAGAATTGTGATTGGATGAACCAGATCACGTGTGATTGGATGAACCAGATCACGTTTGAGAGATCTTCTCTAACGTTTGGTGTGGCGTGGTGCTTGAGATCTAAGGGAAAGTGTTTTGAGTGTTTGAGTAATGAATCATTGTTATTGTTTGCAAAGTCATCTAGATATACTCTTACCTCATTCCCGAATGGATAACAAAGTATATTCTTACCTCATTCCCGAATGGATAACAAAGTGGAGAAGATTAAATGAAGAATTATAAAGATGAAGGGGCACTCAGTGTTTGGCATAATCTTGGTAGCCTTTCTGACTAATGAAAATCCCTGCATTTGTTAAAGTGATAATTTCACTTTTTCTTCACACTGGGGTCCCAAGGGGGTCGCATTGGCAATTGTACTCCCCCCTGGGATTTCGTTCACGGTGCCGAGATAAAGGAGACTCGGAGGAAATAAGAACTTTGCGCTATGGCGAGAAAGGTAAAGAAGCTAGGTTTCATGTGAAGGCTTTGATTATGAACTTTTTTTGTTTTTTTTAGATGTTGACCCACCCCCTTGGGGAAATTACAGAGACACCCCTGCCACACTCATATGATTGCATAATTTCCTTTTGCGAATTGACTCCATAATAGACGAGACATCGATGGATATATTCCAACATAAGGTGGGAGTTGAGAGATGTTATATTACCTAACGATCTAGTTACATCTATTTGCCCCCAGTACACACCGTACCAGCTCCAGAACACTGCGATAATACTGATACAAGATCATCTCAACGCCATATTTAACAACCGATAAAACAATTAAATATTATTGACTTTTTGACAAGAGTTCTCACTTCGTCAATTGCATAGGTTTAATGAAGAACTAAGTTAACATTGAGTGACAAATTGGCGATAAGTACTGTAAAATATACAATCGGACCCAACTCCGTATTTACCTTTAGTATCAATTGGGTAACGACAACCGAATCATTTACTTAAGGCCCTCTAATGAGATTAACTGATGATGAACGGAGTAATGTGGTAACTGGGGCCAACTATGAAATGGGTGTGGATTGAGCATTGGAAACTGAATTGTACTATTTGTATAGGAAATTCAAATAAAAGATTACGCTTGGTTCAACAGATTTACCATCCCTCCCCAGACTGATTTCTCCGCCCTTCAATTTTGGTAAGGGATTACATGTCGTGATCAGGTATGAGCACTTGGACTGACTGTTAGCATTGTGGTAGTTAAACATAGTGATAGACTACAAAATCTGTTCCAGACAAAGTGAGGACCGTGCGAACAAAATTAAGACAAAATAATATGGAAATGAATAATTTGAATCTGGCAACACGGGATTTGTTTTATTGTCGACATTTATGGTTATTATTACATTGGAATTGTTATTTGATCAGTTTCGTAAAAATAAAAATATTCATAGAATAAGGAATAAGAAGGAACATTATTCAATCGATTTTTTTATCATGATTCAGTTGTTCCTTGTCTTGCCCACCCTTGCATTGATCCAAGGGTATTTCACTTCTTTCTAGATACCCTTGGTGCAGCCTATACAACTGTTGGGATTGTGCAAACTAACTTTCAAATAGCCCTTCAATCACTAACGAATCAGAACCATTGTTACAAGTCTTGCCTGTTGGTTTGCTATCTTGTAAATTGAAATACTGATCTGAATGATGGATTATTTCTCACATCGGATGGCACTTGGTCGTTATCTCTTACATTCTCAGCCACCGAGTCATCATTTTCGGATCCAGGTTCCTTAGCTGATAGCCAGGGGCCAAGTCACGTGCTTAGCGGCCATAAGTGGCGCATCATCAGAATCTGCTGTAGCTTAGTTGCAATTTGCTTCTATTTATCTTTGAAACATTTTGGAAACAGTTCAGGGTATTCCCAGTGGAATAAACAAATACATTTGATTTTTGTGCTTGTGCTTTAAATGTTTTGCAGTCAAACAAATATGAGCAACGAGTTAGATCGTATGGCATAGTTATTTGGGTAATCAATTTATCTGCTGGAGTCACAAAATTAATTATTTTTTGGAAAAACTATTTGTCGGATTTACAATTATAGTTACGATTACAAAATACTGCCATGCTTTCTATTTAATAGTTTTGTTCTTAATCGAATGCATACGGCATAAAGTATAATTCGCTATCGATGGAAACAATATCGTTTTTGGACAATTTTTCAAATAGCTTTCCTATTGCTTCATTTGATTCTATAGCTCAATATCGACATTTGGATCCACAATACTTTGTAGCATTTCCATCATTCTGGACATCTTGAACTGACAACTTTGGCAATCGTCTGTAACATTTTTTGATATCAATTAAGCTTAATAAATATAAAACAATCTCACTACTTTTTGCTGTTGTGTAACAATGTACAAAATGTTCACCTATGTGAAATTAAAATACTGAATAAAATTAAAAATATGATGAATCCATTTTGAATATAACATTTGAATACATGGTGGATTGTTTTTGATCATATAATGATAACATTTGAATTAAATTAATTTAATTCATTATAACAATTTGTAATCAAGATTACATAGATTAACATAGATTGTTTCAAATCACACTAAATATAAATGTGAAGTAAATTAATGAATACATGCGTTCAACAAAACATGCGTCTTATTCATACTACATAAGTTATACTTCATATGGACAGGTTGCGCATTGGTTAAAAGCAAAATAAGTTATACTTTTCCATTCCAAATGCTATTTAATAGCAAAAATAATCAAAGCAATACTAAATAAATAAATAAACCAATAACTTAATTTATCGGACGTTGAATTTCTTTTTTTCTCAAAGGCAAGACGGATTTGGAAATTGGCCTATTGGAACATTCGACATACTTGTATAGTGAAGAAAAAAATGATTTCTGACAATGGCGAAAATGTCTCTGGAACATCTCTACCGTTGACAAGTCAGTCATTGAGGCCTCTAACCTATTATTAAAGATAAACTTGCATGGAAGCAGACAAAATATTTTGGTTGGAATGTCATCACTGTTTCACTGGATGGGGTGTAATTATTTACGACTGTTTTTTTAATTCCTGTTTATTTATTATGTTAACAGGATGTTGCCAGTCTCAGGAATATTTACACTGACGTCCATAATTTGAGTTAAACACCTTTTTTTAACCATACCGAAAAATCAAGAAACTCTAAAATCATATATTTTGAGTAGATTGAATGATTTCATTTGATTAAACTGAATCTTTCCAAGAAGAGCCGGATAAGGAAGTACAAAAGACAGAAGTAGACTTTAGAAATCCATAAAACTTCAATACCCAAATAGTAATTATTTTACAAATGTAAAAGGTTTGAAAAGCGTTTCGACAGTAAAGTTTATATAATATACGAATTTAGAAATTAATCGTTTAATCAGTTCAATAATTCATTTTAAAGATTTATGTGATCTGAAATATCGCTTAATATTATAAGAGGAACGATCCTTTTCAATAATCAAAGAAAGCTATTATGGGCATTTGATATGATAAACAGATTCCAAATTACAAATGTGTGTATGTATATCTTTATTGCCCTTTATGAAAAGGAGAGAGCAAATGTATCATGATTTATAATTTAATACTTTTGATTATTTTAATTTTGATGGAATTTGCTAAATTGATATGTAAATCTTTTACCATTCAAAAAATCAAAATCAAAAAATAAAAGTGAAATCAATTTCCTAAAATAAATATAATAGAGCCTTGTCTAAAAGATAAAATTCTATTTTAATTTGGAAATTGATCAGCTAGAGATAATAATCAAAATTAAAGTTCATAAAAATAAATATATGAAATAAAAGTGAAATCAGTTTCCTAAAATTATAATAGAAGCTAAAAGATAAAATTCTATCTTAATTTGGAAATTGATCATTATAATCAAAATTAAAGTTCTATTTACCTTCAGCTGCTTTTACCGTTGGACTGTGCTCTGCCGCGTCCTTCGCTTGCATCATGAAACACTTTGGCATGCTTCGTCGCCCACCTCTTTAATAGTCGTCAGAAACAGCCGCCCAAACAACTGCCTCCGTGTAAGTCTTTTCTTCGATTTGACGGCAGCTCTGTCAACAAAGTTCGATGTTTTTGCCAAATGTCACAACTTACATGCAGTTCTGCAATTCTTCAATAGCCTTGTGAATCTTGCGTTGTATTTTTTGGCAATCAAAACTCATTTGTTCGATGTATAACTGGTTAAGTCAGAATTTATATACAATCTCCTAGAAACCCATCAAGTTATACAGCCACCTGGTAGTTAAACGTCAAAAGTTCAAGCTGTCATTCGAATTCTGGTCGGACACAAAATGATGTTTTCTGGTACTTTCGATTTTCGTCAAGTTCTTCACACCTTGATCAGCGTTCAGTTATGTTGAACTTTTAGTTTATGATATGGTTAATAAGTATACAATACAACATGAGTGGATGCGATATTATCAATGCGCATGCGCTGATGGTAGTGTGTATACTTGAAATTCGGATGTAACAATTGTATTGGAGTTTGGATACAGCGACCTGCAGTGATATATTTCTTGTTTGTGTAGTGCGTGTAATCTGTCTGATCCCGTTGTCAACATGTGTATGCTAACAATCCGAAACGCTTGCTCCCCCGGTCCCGTCGCCTGAATTCTTCTTTTCCTGGGCGGTTGTGTTATCATAAAGGATGACCGGGGAATATCATCGTTTCTATCAATATTAAGAACATAGTTGTGTCGCCTTGTTCTACACCCAACTCAATATGTGTAGTAGGACACCGTTCTCAAACCTTCTCAATGTCAACAGTGTGCCTGCCGCTATTGGGACCCATCAGGCATATGTCGCCAGAGAGGCAATTCGATGCGCTATATCATTCCAAAACGCAATTTAGTAAAAAAGGAGTAATCGTTTCTGTTGCTTGTTTACGTTGCTGTATGTTTGTTTAGACATCAGTAAGATAGAACTCATTGTTTGGTTATTTCATAAACTAAATTAAATATGGAGTATTTTGAAATCTAGAGCTTCATTTGTTATCGAGTTGTTGTCAAATGACTGCCCACTTAATTTCGTTATTCGAAGACCCACTCAACAGTGAATGGAAACATGTTTATAATCTTGACATATCATGTTTCCTTTTTGAAACAATTTCACGTTCTTCATGTTTGTTACATCTAATCAGTATTGATTCATCTTTTATTGGGTTTTACATGTTGGTATCTGATAACAGATTTAGTGAAAGGCTTGGAGAAAGGCCGTGGACGCCAGTGACAACATTTGGAAACATAACTTTGACCGCTTCTGTAACTAGGTTTTTATCAGCTGGACGTTTAACATGTTAATTGACAAGTTTGTGTCCACTGAACGTAGCAACAGCTACGTTTACTTTTCGACTTTATCTTGATCAGTAATTCAACAAACAAATAAAATCCTTTGTTTCAATTTAGAAATATGTAGCATACATATTTAATGGCATTATTATCATACTTGCCACTTCATCTGCCTTGAACAGTGTTGGTTAATTACGGTTATGTAAGGTTATCACGTGATGACACATGGTAAGGGTAGCCATAGCACCCCCAGGCGGCAGGGAGGGGCGAATGCCGCGCTCCCACAGTCAAAGAGGTCTACCAGGAGAGCGTTACCAGGTACGACAACCACTTCCTCGCTTAACCTGTGGACATTAATTAATAATACATCGGCATTAAACACTTATGCGCGATGTCTAAACATGTCAAATCACTTATCCTGGTTGCAAATTAGACTTATTAGTTCCCGATTAGTTTGGAGTTAGTATTAGCGAATAGGCGCAGGAATTTTGTCTCGAATGTATCGAGTAACGTCGACAAGTTCGTTTGTTTTGGACGCCCTTTACGTCATGTAGATGCAATCATGTACGACTCGGAGAGTTACTTAAGGTTCTTATGTTTCGATCAATGGCTTGGATGGACATTTGATCGTGAATGCAAATCAGGTTGATTCCTTGTAAGCTGATATTTAAAGATCAGCAGGAAAACAATTGATAAATAATCCAGTAGACCAGGTGTACAAAATAGTTACGCGTGCGGAAGGTGGAATTCGTCCTTGTTGGACGGCCAGTGCAAAAGAAATTAATTCCCCTCGCATGGTTCATTCCACTCTGATAAATATAACGAATCAGGAAAACATAGGAGTGGTGACATAATGGATAAGAGTACCATATTTGGGTAGAACGCTCAAAAATTGCTCAAAAACATGTACAGTTTTGTTTTCATTTCAAATGAAACCTCTTTTACATTCAGACCTGAGATAAAAGATGAACATCTCCTTGATACATTTAATTTCTGTTACTTTTAGATATCAGTAATAATATAGTGAATTGTTTGTAGATATGATGGGTGTATCAAAGCCATTCAAAGGAGTTAGTTATCACAATACAAGAAGCGGTAACCAGTATGATGGCCCACTTCATACGTTGTCTTATCACGCTCTTTCTACCCTAAGAACTGAACTTACAACGTAAAACAGTGTAAATATTGTAATATAGGTTTATAACCTAACCTGTGCCAAATACGTTTATAAATTCCTTGTGTCTGTATTTTGGAAAGTGTAATCCAAAGTGATAGTAGAGCAAACTAGGTGGTTTTTACTGTTGGATAAAATGGCAACTTTAATATGAAGTGATAAAAAATAAAACCAGTTATCCCAGAATCGTGATCTTAAAAGAAGTATACGAGAAAACTGAACACTCGTGCAAATCTTATTTAACTTATACGCAATCTTAAAGACGATATATCAATTACAATAGTAAATGATTACTATTTACACTTCTTGATAGAATATCTTCAATTGTCGGCTATCTAACTTCATACACTCAATTTACTTTGATCTCATTGTATTCGTGTCTTATACTCTTCACAATTTAAAGACCACCGTTTGTAACATAGATAGAGGAAGAGGTGATAAGAAAATATTGTAGCCTGGCATACAGACCGTTTTTTACCTCATGATCTCAATCTCAGTACAATATTACAGCCATCAAAATAAAAAGCTTGAGTGTGTACGCCATGCAATATTTTCTGATGTATATGACAACGTTTGCCAATTTATACCAACAAGAATTAATATTCAATCGAGACAAAGAGCTGATCTAGAAACAGGCTGGGACTTAAAAAGTAGCCTTCTTATTTGATGTTGATAAACTATTTCAAAGTCACACCGCCAATTTTCGCTCACGACTACGTCACGACGGATACAAAGAACGTAATCGTATGACGTGTCGCAAAAAGGTTGCGCACGCATTGTTACACATTTTCGCTTTTTAACACCACAGAATGTGACGTTTTTTGAGAAAAATGTACACATATGGAAATCCTTTCGTCCTCCACATTTGCCTCTATATCTCAAAATATTTAAGGCGAATAACTCTGATATCGTATATGTATTAACAATGGGATAGGAGCATCATAAAACACGAATCAATTGATATTTTAGGTGAAATAAATATACGTGTTGCTGTGCTTGAAAATAGGCGAATGGCCCTATTTTAATGAATTTTGAAAACCTTTCGTCCTCCACTTTTCCACATTCAACAGAAAACACATACTTTTGCGAACAAAATCAACTATTTATTAATAAACTAAAGTTTATGAGCAAAATAATCATGTATGATTTATTAAAAATTGATCTCGTATTTTTTGCTGTACACCTGAAAAGTTGAAGGTAACAAAAAATGAGCAAAAAATGTCGCTGTCAACAGATTCTATTTTTCAAACTCTATGACGTCACGACATGGGACGCTTACTTAAATTCATCCTTTGAAATAAAACCTCCATCTACCTTTATCAAGATGAAAAATAAGTATAATAGTCATATATTGTTTGAGTTATGAGCGTTTAAAGACGAAAAATAATTCAAAATGTAACGTGTCAACAGGAGATATTAGCCAGATGTTTTGGTAAAAAACTATTTTTTAAAAAAAGAACGCGCAAGAATCGTGAACGGAGTGTAAATGAACTAAAAACTTCATCGAAACAGCTTTAAAATGATAGATAACTTTAATTAGAATATTATCTTATAATCCGGGGAATCAAAATTCACGCGATACCCTTAAAAAACAATTGCGCCACCTTTTTGCGACACGTCTATACATTTATGCATTGTTTTATTTTCTATTGACACGATGTTCGCGGATGTCCATGCACGCACAATCTGAATTTTTTCAAGAAACACACATATACTGTGGACACAGAACACGGTGTCTCATCCGGAACCAAGAGCATTTGATTATATCACCGTCGAAGAAATATGATGTCAGCAATTTCGTATTGTAAAATTGTATTGAATTGTATTGTATCGCTTTGCCTTATTTGACCCATTTTAGTTTTAAGACATGATACGAGACGAAGCACTTACATGTGAACATATTAATGAAAAAGCAAAATTATGCTTTACTGCTCAAAAAAGGCTTTCGTAACTGTCAATAGGTGGCACCCTTTCAGTTAAAATACTGTAATCAACAGAATTCGAGGATTGCTTTGCCTGAATACAGCTGGTTTTGTATGTGAGGTGTAACCTGTCACTATTATTGAGCCCGGGCAATAGACTTTCAATCAACTTGGATGCGATAAGTAGCTAAGTAACAATATGAGCCACGAGTCAGTTGTGGAAAGGCGTGTACAACCTAAAGTATCCATCATCACTTATCTCACTTCCGTTAAAGGTTGATTTTGTCCAAAAATATAGAGTTCTTTATCGTGTACCTTAAAATGGTCAATGATTTGTCCAATTATATGGCATCCACAATATTTTCGAGTTCATTGATTTCACTGGTTAATTTCAGGGTAAGTGATAATTGCATACTACTACTTTATTGAAAACCATTTTTGTTATATAAGTGACAAAGGAAATTGAAAACAATTTTGCAAAAATGACAAGAAATGTGTCATTCTCACATTTCAGGACAGCACCAGGATCGACTTATTACTAACTTTAAATCCCAATAAGTCTGTTTATAAATATTGCTGCTGAAAAAGAGACCGTAAATCTAAATTGTACGCCTAGTTTCTATGATTCCCCAAAAGAGGTCAGCATTTATAATAAAGTTCTATCGCACATTGTTAGAAAACCTCTTCTATTATTTGGAAAATAGATAATAAGAATCCAGACCTACTATAGGCAATAATAAACTTTAAGAAATAATAAATTTTGGCATTGATCTCTTAAGCCCAAATGCCATTTTTAGTACACATGGTTATAAAACAAAACATGTACTGAACTAAAAATCTTGGCACCCATGTCAGGTTACTACTAAAAACTTACGGCCAGAAAAACACAAAAAGTAACTTAAGTAGTTTCGAGACTTTTCATTTTTTGTTCAGAAACTTTACATACTTTGTAAATGAACACGCAAATGAGCGAGGATGGTCAATCATGATAGCAGG